GCGGCGGCGACGGCGGCGCGGTTGACTCGAGCAATCTATTCAAGGCAACGGATGATGATACAACGGAGGAGACAACAACGCAACAACGGTTAACCACCAGTGGCGATGAAGAATCAGCGACGACGGTGACGACGGTAACGACAGTGACGACAGTGACGACGGTGACGACGGTGACGACGGTGACGACGGTGACGACCATTTGTCCAGATTGCAACGAGCAAATGCACGACACGGTGGAGCTCAGTCTGCATCGGATGCGTCGTCATTCGATGAACAGAAAGGACGCGACCTGCCTTCTCTGCGACAACAAGTCCTTCTCCTCGTTGGACGAATACGAGCAGCACGTGCTCGATCATTGTAAACGACTAAGAATATCACCATAAATGAAACGAATTTTTTCCTCCTCCGTTACGTAATATATCGCGTCAACATTGAACATTACTTTTTGATTTTACTTCATTTCGAACGATCGAGTCACACCGACGCACAGTGAGTCGTTTCTTTCTTGGTCTTTCGTATCGGGAGGCGATCCAATCGATCCAATCGATCCAACAAGGTATCGACTCAAGATAGATCAGATCGTAGATTGCAACCCAACTCTTGCATCTAATTCTCCGTTATCTGTTATCTGTTGTCTAAATTTCAATCGACACGACGTAGCGAGAAAATAATCACGAGCGAGTCGATCCTTTCTTTCTCACTTGCCTGTTCTCACGTTCTCCAGCAAATCACACGAAAAAAAGTACAAAATATCCGGGGATAGGGAGCAACGATGAAACTCTGCGTGTGTGTGTGTGTGTGTGTGTGTGCGTGTGTGCGCGCGCGCGCGCGTGTGTGTGTACAACGGTATAAACGACTTGTACGTATTGTAAGAAACACGTAGGCAATGGTGGTATAGTGCGCGCTTTATTTTTTGCCACACCCAACGTGATGTAAAAATGTACGTTTCTTTCATTTTATTCAAAAAGTAGAGAGCGAGAGAGGGAGAGAGAGAGAGAGAGAGAGAGAGAGAATATCTGTGTGCGTGTGCACGTGTGTGTGTATATATATAGGTTCCACATGCGCGTATAAATGTATAAATTTTCACGGGCTTTACGAACGAGACGATCCAAAGGCGTGCCAGTCAAAATTGTTTATTATTTACAATCAGCCGAATTCCATTGATAGCTTTTAAAATTATTCAGTAAATAAATATACATACATATATATATATATATATATATCTTTTGCGAACGATATACTCTTGAATTTAAGAACAAAAGGTGCTATTCCGATCCTGGTGAGATTTTGAGCGACGAGCACCACGGCGGTCGATGAATGCAATCATTCGGGAGGACGGGATAATGGCGCCGATCGTTATCTGAAATCAAAAGAAGTCAAAGGATAGGCCGGAGAGGAGAAATGACAAAGAGATCCGTCTAGTTACTTATTGTATCGAGTTGACGTTCCTGGCGTACGTGGCTAACTAACAAACAACAATAAACAAATAGCTAACGTTGCAGTTGGCGAAATAGCCGTCGGTGTCTGCCTTATTTAACGAGATTTTCAAAACGAGTGACAAAGCCGAGTGGAAGAGAAAAGAAGGCCGTACTCTCGCGCGTACTCGCGTCGATCGGCACAAGTTAATAACTCGGTGTAATAAATGGCGTGACAATATTCCATAATTCTACCGGAAGAAGAAAGAACGTTAAGAAAGTGAAAGTTGATTCACACCTTGAACCAAGGCGACGTCAATGCCAACTGAGCGGTCGCTCTATCCTCTCCGCGTAAACGGAGCAACGTTTCGAGAAGATGTTTCACGTCGGTCGATATCTCTTTGAAGTACTCGTCGGGGAAACAGAAATCGCACTTGAGTATGTTTGCGGTAGTTTCTTCGATAGAATCGTCCAAGAAAGGCGAGAGCCCGCTGCAAGCAAGCAAGCAAGCAAG